TTCACGGTGCCAAGTTTGAGATATAAGGATTGTCACGATATCAAGAAATATTGAGTTGCCGAGGGAAATGGTTTATATTCCTAGAGGAGATGAGAGTTTCATTGTTTCCACGCTACATGTTGAGGAGTTATTGGATAGAAGAGCACATAGATTTTTGGAGACCGTTTTGACGACTAAAGATGATAAACAACATAAGCTGGATGATCTTCTAGTTATTGTAAAGTAAGAGGATGTAATTGAGACCTATAGAAGAGTCACCATCATATAGGAGACACGTCCATACGGCTGAGTTAGAATCAAAAAGGTAACACCGGTTTTGTGACTTATGTATCGATTAGTACCGACAGAGATGGTCGAGATGAAGAGACATATACAAGGTGGAATTAGCATCGGGGTATTACCAAATCGTCATAGCGGAGGAGGATGTGTGGAAGAAAACCTCTCGTACACACTATGGGCATTGCGAGTTGTAGTAAGAAAAATTGTATTGATGAACGCATCGGCAGTGTTCACGAAGTTCATGATTGTTGTGTCCTGCGAGTATTTGGTTAAGTGTGTGATCTTTTTCATCAAAGATGTCCTAGTTATTCTTGGAGCAGAGAAGAGCATGCAGAGCATTTGCGGATTGTATTGGGTAAGCTAAGATACCATCATATGTTTACTAAGTTGAGTAAGTGTTGCGTCTGGCAGGAGAAGATTAGATTTTTGGGTCACGAGGTTTCAGAAGCAAGAGTTGTTATTGATCCAGAAAAAGATTATTGCAGTTCCAGAGTGGTCATCACCTAAGAGTGCTTCTACATAGATCAGTAGATTTGGCGGGATACTACAGGAGGTTCATCATTTTGAAGATTGACTTGAATCCAGAGTACCATAAGATTACTATAGCTGGGAAGTATGTACAGATTACAGTTTCACATATAAGATGGATAATACGAGTTGGAAATAATATTATTGGGTTGAAGAATTCACGGATAGCAATCATGGAGCTAAAGGATAAATTCTTTTGCCAACACTTGGATAAGTGCGTGGTTGTATTCATCGACAACATCCCAAATATTGTTGAAGTAGAGAGAGGTAAGATGAGCATGGTCAGATTTGGTATTTAATACAAAAGATCAGATCATTGCATAAGCAGCAAACTAGATGAAGATTATGAATATGAAACATTTTGGAATGGAAGTTAGAGATTTTTGGAGTGATCACCAAAGTTACCTTTGACATTGACTATGAAATATCTATGTGGAGATGCATTAGTGTTGTTTGAATATCGCATGCCACTTGATAAGGTCAACCGAGTGGTAAACGCCTTAAATTGGTACATGAGAGATGTGTCAGGAACCACGGAGGATCAGCAATTACTGGAACGCTTACAAGCTTTAAGATTACGTGCATTTCAGTAGAGGAGGATACAATTGACATTGGAGCATTGGAGCATTGGAACATACAATTTTACCTCGGAGGTTACACTAAGCTCAAGATAGCGTTATGGATGTGGTTAGGTGGATTGAGGTTGAGAGTGCTGTACATCATACAGTTTTGGAGCGGGTTGTTCCTGTATAAGAATCGAGTTGGTGTGTTGGACGTTGAGTTGTTAGGAAAAAGGATCTTACAGCAAACACACCACTCGCGTCTCTATGTCCACCCGAGGAACACCCAGAATAACAAGATATGAAGTGTTACTATCATTGTACTAGTTTGGGGGAAGATTGTAGTGTTGCGTCGCAGTGTTAGATGGTTAAGTTTAAGGACCGGATACCTATCAGGTTATTGCTGAGTTTGCTTTTGCCAGAATGGAAACGAAACCTCGGGATTATGAATCATCACGTGTAGAGAGGATATGAGGAATTGTGGATGTATTTACTAAATCATTTATCTCCCGAATAATTTTGAAGGCAGTTGGAGCTGGCCAGTTGGCACAGAGTACATCAGAGGGAAATCGTAAGGATTGCATGGAGTTTTTGTGGGCGTTATATCGGGTCATGATGTAAATTCAAGTTTATATATGGAGAATTTCTAAGAAGGCACTTGGAGCAAAGATCTATTTGAGTATTACTTATCATCTAGAGACAGAGGATCAGTTAGAATGACCATTCTGATTTTTAAGGATATGTTCAGAGATTGTGTCTTATAGTGGAAAGAAAGTTATGGAAGCGTCTACCTCTAGCAGAGTTGCCTGCAGTGATAGTTATAATTTAGATATTGAGATTGTACCATTTGAATCTTTTTGTGATATAGCTTATGGTACACTATGTTGTTGAACCAAAGTGGGGGAGCAGCATGTGATAAAACTATTAATGGCTCCAGAGACGGTAGAGCAAGTGGACGTGCTTAAAGTTGGTTTTGGGAACGCCATGATCGTCAGTGAAGTTATGCACTCAAGCGCTGTAAAGGACTTGGAGTTCATATGGGAGATCGAGTAACCCTGGAAATAAAGACATTTCAGGGAGGAAACAAGATTTGAAAGATAAATAAGTGTAAATAGAAATATGTGGAAACAAATTATATTGTGGAGCAGATTGGAGTAGTTGCTTACGGATGGAATTTATCAATAGAGTTACCAGATTTTCAGGTTTCTATTTTAAAGATAGTTTTGACAAAGCCAAAGTTATGTTGCAGCAATCACCAGATGACTTCAGCGAGATCGGATACATCTTTTCAGACAGCATAGATTGTGGATCCGTCAGATAAAAGCATTTCAGGGAATGTCCCCAGTGTCTATCAGAGTTGTTGAGAGAGATAGGGTTCAGAAGAAGATCTCAAAGACCAAGCAGATTGATTACTCAAAGTTTAATTGCTATGATTTTGGACAGTCAACGAGCGACTCGAATTAGGGACGAATTCCTTGTTAGTGGGGGAGAATTGTATCGACCCAAATTACGGTTTCGGAAATAATTAACCGGCTAAGCCCATATTTATCCCGCAGGCCCATTAGATTTCTGAAGGCCCAATAGCATGAGCATAAAAGCCAAGTATTTCTTCAGCATTGTTTTCTCCACCTGCAAGAAAAATAAAATCAGAAGTTAAAGAGAGAGAGAGCAAAGAGAGAGAGAGAGAGAGAGAGAGAGAGAGAGAGAGTGATGGGGAACCTTTGTAGCTGAGCCACCAGAGATCGTCATAGTCACCACTGCACGCCAGGAACACATCGAGCTCATCACCACCGTCCGTAACCACCGGAGATCGCCGGAAACCGCCATGGTTTTAAGTTGGTTTTGTACCGTTTAGTAAATCGACCATATCTTTCAAACCGTTGAGAATCTCGTGCATGCAAGGCCACCATCATGTTCTACTCGTCGAGACGAAGCCGTAGACCTTGAAAACGCCTCAATCGGAGTCCGGACGAAGCCACACGCGCCTTCAGAAGTTTTGCCGGAAATCGCCGTCCGCCGCCGGACCACCGTCCCTCCGCCGCCGGACTGCCGTGTCGTCGCCGCCGGGCCGCCGGACCGCCGTGTCGCCGCCGCCGGACCGCCGCCGCTCCGCCGCCGGTGACCGTCGCCGGTGACTCGCCGGTGACTCGGTCAACTCGGCCGAGTCAACTCAGCGAGTCAACTCGGTTGACTCGGTCAACGGTTGGTTGACTGGTTTGACCGGTTTAATTCAATTGCGATTTGGTTAAGGTAAACCGGTGGATTAAATCAATTGAATTTGGGTTAGGAGTAAACTGGGTTGTAAATGATTGAATCTGGTCCAATTGAAATCGAATTCGGTTAAGGAAAACCGGTTGGTCCAATTCGATTTCAATTTGGTCAAGAGTTGACCGGCTTGGGTCAGAGTTGACCGGGTTGACCTTTGACCTGCGAGTTGACTTTTCCGAAATTGCCCGTTTTCGACCGTTCGAAGGTCGTTCTGACTCGAAATTTCGATCTGATTTCAGATTTGGAGTCTATTTGAGCACCAGGAGTTCATAGATACCACTTCTCTTCATTGCTAAGGTGAGGGTCTACTTCCGAACGATTCGTACGCGACTTAGAACTTTAAATAAATATAATTTATTTCTAATGTGTTCCGTCTTTGTGAATTAAGTCTAATTTAGGGTCTGATTGGTGTCCGTTTGTTTAGGATTAGAATTGTTTGCATAAACTGGAACTAGGGTGTCAGATGATTCAACATTGATTGCTTCGCTAAATGTAAATTAGTTAACTAGAGTTGTTTGGCCGGATACAGAGACAGACTTCTGTATGTCGGAGTGTATGTGGGGACTACGGACGGCTTCAGTCGACCGGCCGGGTCGTAGTCTAGTGCGGTCGATAAATCGTCTTCGGGCGGTGTTACTGGGCACTATCCCAGCGTGTAGTCCCGCTAGCGGTTAGCGGGCAGCGAGTGCGCGGCTCGCTAGGGCCATTGTTTGTTTGCTTGGGTACTTTAGGTACCGTGTTTGACATGCATTAGAATTAGTTTATTTTTATTTGGAGTGCTATGTCCAGGTCCACGGACTTCGGGGTAGCATCCCATACCTCACTGAGTGACTCCCCAGTCGCTCACCCCTTTTTCTTTCCATTTCAGGTGAGACAAGCATAAAGTGATATTTGGACGGACTTGGTGCTATTGGGCTTTTCTATTCGGATTTTTATTTGGGCTTGGGCGAGTGTAGTTGGGCTTTGGGGCTTTTATGTTATGAGATATTGTTCGTGGCCCGTCGTCCCTAGAGAGAGGGAGACGGCTGTCACATTGTTATTTGATGACGCGTCGGGATGACACGCTGTACTCCAGATAAGAGGTGACGGGTGTTACATATATCTTTTATGCAATCCAAGGGTTCATATACTGAAGCTTCAAAAGGTTGTGTTGATGTTTCTTGTTGCATCTTTAATGCCCCTTAGAACTTGAAAATGTTTGTTTTTTCTTTAGGATAAAAGTTTTGATTTCGAAAACGAAGTGGGACTAATTGATTGTGGTTGTGGGAAAGACTCCAAGTTGACACGGAGGGGCCCTACCAAAAATATATGTGGTGGCCGTTAAATAAAAGAGTTTGTATTTGATCAAAGGAGAAGAGAGTGAGAGAGAGGCGTTAACAATGGCCTCTCTTTCTCTCTGCTCCGCTCACTTGTCTTCAACTCCGACTCGCTCCTCGCTTCCCACTTCATCGCTTTCTCCTCCTCTGTCTCTCTTCCCATCACCGATCATCCGTCGCAATAGTAGTATCTTCTTCACCATCACCCCGCCACGCCAGATTCCTCAATCCTTCCCAACATCCACTTCTCTGGTTACCTCTATTCAATTAAACAACTCAATTACTCCCAAAAATAAATAAATTAAACAACTCAATTTCATGGCCGAATTATATAAACGTGTTTTTTTTTTTTTTTTTGGGTATTTTATAGGTAAGGTGTTGTGCAAAGGAGCCATTGAAGGTGATGATATCGGGTGCACCAGCTTCAGGAAAAGGCACTCAGTGTGAGCTCATCGTTCAAAAGGTAAGCATGCTAGTCTCATCGCACTTGTTATACACAACCATGAGTCCATGATGCATACATATGTGTGTGTTTGGTTAGTTAGTTTGTTGACAGTATGTTTTGTTCTCGAAATTGCTGCTGTAAATCTATTATTTTTGATGTAGTGCAACTAAATTAATGAGCCATTGCCATTGCACGGTGTTCTGTCCCTTTTTTTTTTTTTTTTTTGAGTTCGATGAAACCAAGAATCTAAAGTATGTAAGTTTAGAATAACATAACAGCATTGAAGGGTCTCTTCGTTTTTTATAAATAAGATGCCCAATCGGAAATTCCCAACCCTTGTGTGGTAAACAGTAAAACTAGCTGAGGAAATATTTGGTCTTGTTAAGGTTATGTATCAATATCTTAGGCCATGTATATTGAAACAACTTCAGACTTAGGTCCATGGGAATAGAAGTTGGCTTACAGTCAAGCAGTTTCCTTTTGAGGATCTCAAGTAAACAACATAGCACCGAAATTTGAATGCTTCTGTAACTAATCCTTCGAAGAAGAAACATATATACTCTTCCATGATCTCTTGTCTAGCTGTCTTATAGTTTCCAGACTCCTGGTAGATTCTCTCTTGAGTGGTGTGACTATACATATGCAGTTAAAATTATCTATGATACTGAACAATGCACATAAAAACGCTTAATGTGCATCATTAAATATTTCCATGCAGTTTGGTTTGGTGCACATATCAACGGGGGATCTTTTGAGAGCAGAGGTGTCATCCGGGACAGAGATCGGGAATAAAGCAAAAGAGTTCATGAACTCGGGTAGTTTGGTCCCGGATGAGATTGTAATTGCGGTAGTGATGATATAACTTATTACCTGATCCCCTTGGCTTGTTTTTACTATTCTTCGTTTGATATATCTTCCACACTTTTTCTAGATGGTGGCTGCAAGATTATCACGTGAAGACGCTAAAAAGCATGGATGGCTTCTTGATGGATTTCCACGGACTTTTGCTCAGGCACAAAGTCTGGACAAACTAAACGTCAAACCAGACATTTTCCTCTTATTAGATGTACGTGAAAAATCACTCTCCTCAATTAGTGTTAAAAAGCAATACCACATCTTCACTATTTGTCAATGGCCATTATGTTTCTTTGCTTAATGACAGGTTCCTGACGAAATTCTAGTCGAGCGATGTGTTGGTAGAAGGTTGGATCCAGTGACTGGAAAAATTTATCATATTAAAAGTTACCCTCCTGAATCAGACGAAGTTAAAGCAAGACTGGTTATACGCCCTGATGACACAGAAGAGAAGGTGTTTGCCTTTTGGACTTGTTGCTTGCTTTCTCAATGTTTAAGTAATAGCTGTCAAGTGTATCTCACGATGTTGTTTCTCTTGAAGGTAAAAGCACGTTTGAAAATATACAAACAAAATTCAGAAGCTATTATTTCTGCATACTCAGATGTTATGATCAAGGTATTGGACTATTTGCATCTTTCTTTTCTTTTGGTAAAATAGATTATTAGGATCTCATTAGTGATTTTTTGGCTGGTATCTTCTCTTTTGAACACAGATCGATGCAAACAGGCCAAAAGAAGTGGTCTTCAAGGAGACTGAAACTCTTCTTTCTCAGATACACCTACAAAGAATGATAAAGACTGGCAAGTAGTCACCATATTTATATAAATAAATTTGCATGGTGCCCTTGTTTTCGTGTTTTCCAGTTTTTGAATCAGACCTTCGTAACAGTAGCTCTTAGATACGTTTGATTCGCAATCATTTCAGTTTAGGACTAAACTAGTCCTTTTTATTTTATGCAAGCGATGCTAATTATGAAACAGGTTTTTGCAGATAAAGCATCTCCTGTTCAGGTTGGATAATAACCCTTCTTTTTTTTTCTTAAGCTAGCAAGTAAATTTAGAGATGATCTTATTAAATATCTAACCTTTTTTTTTATTTCTTTTTATCAGGATAACTGGAGAGGAATACCGACGAAACTGAATAACATTCCTCATTCGAGAGATATCAGATCTTATTTTTATGAAGATGTTCTGCAAGCCACAGTCAGGTCGATCAAAGATGGAAACACTCGTCTTCGGGTCAGAGATCTAGTACTCATGTTAAGTTTTGTCGTCTTTATTTCCCTTTTGACTGGACTGATGCGGTAACAAATGAATAGGTAGATATAAATATCCCTGAGCTAAACCCTGAAATGGTAAGCTATTCGTTTCACTAACTGTGTTATATAGTAATTAATTTTTATCAACAATCATGAGCTGTTTGTGATATACGTAGGATGTTTACCGGATAGGAACCTTGATGGAACTGGTTCGAACTCTAGCTTTATCATTCGCTGATGATGGAAAAAGAGTGAAGGTAAGACATGGTTTTCTGAAGACTTTTTGAAATTATTTGTTCATTAAGCTTCTTTCCTCTTCCAGGTATGTGTTCAGGGGTCAATGGGGGAAGGTGCACTCGCTGGGATGCCACTGCAGTTGGCTGGCACTCGAAAGATTTTAGAATATATGGACTGGGGTGATGATGAAACTTTGGGAACTTTCGTCAAGCTTGGTGCAATTGGTAACATCCTAAACTGGAGTACTTTTCTAGATATATATCGGAAAAACCATGTTTAAAGACCAAGAACTGCGCCATTCTTTAGAAACTTGTGATGCATAATCAAGTTAATAGCTATCGATTCTCAGGTGGTAAAGAAGTTGATGAAGAAGACGACATATTCATCTTAGTGGCTCCACAAAATGCCGTTGGAAATTGTATCATAGATGTAAGGTGCTTAAAATTGCTAGACCTTTTTATTCACTTGAGGGTCCTATAAAATATACATTTGGTTAGGATCTACAAGCGATGACTAGTGCTGCTGGTAAGAGGCCAGTTGTACTTATCAATCCTCGCCTCAAGGTACACTTTCTTCTTTCACTTTCGATAAAAAAAGAATTATCTGGTAAAATTACCACTCTCGCTTGTGGGTAATGTGTTATTATTCAGGACTTACCCGCTTCAAGTGGCATAATGCAAGTAAGCACACACACAATGATTTACATAACCATCTGAAAAGAAGGTTACGTTGCTTTTATCATTATTTATTTCCGTGTCTCAGACAATGGGCAGGGAAAAAAGACTTGAATACACCTTAACATTTGACAATTGCTATGTATTTCGGCTACTTTATTATGCTGGAACACAATACCCGATTATGGGCGCTCTAAGGTACTTTTGGGATGTGACTATCAAGAAAAAGCACGAGAAAATCGTGTCTGAATCTTCTTTTACACTGAATATGGTTAGGATGTCTTATCCTTACCGGTATGAGCTTTACAAGAGGATGACTGAGGAAAATGGAAAGGAAAAGTATGTATTGATATCAACATACTCTGAAAGGCCAACCCCTGACCAAATCAACGATGCCTTCTCTGGAAAATCTCGGTAAATTATTGCTATCAGTGGTGTTTACTTCTTAACTCGCTGTTCAGTTTATTAATAATAACTAAAAAGGACTTTTCCACATTCAGGGAGGAAAGCAAGAAGCCTTCAGGAATCTGGTAATGAAAGCTCCCACATTACATAGATAGAGATTAATGTATGTGTGCGTGAAGCTGAATGTGAGGAATACTTGCAGGGGGTTCCTAGGCAGCGGATTTTTCTAGAGGGGGGAAGCTAAAGTTGTGATACTACTTTTGGCCCTTTTTTTTTGTCATCTAAATATTTCGTTCATTTTCAAGGTCATCAATACAACCTACCTTATCTTTACACCCGCTAGTATACCAAAAAAGTACAGCCCTAAAAGCCACACTGAGTAAAATAAGAGAGGCCAAACGGTTCTCATTTTCAGAGAGGTCCTGCAACCAAAAAGGATTATCATGCAGCTACATAGGATTCAGTTCTTGCATCCACAGTCACACTTTGAGCAATGAGAAATGCACCTTTATTTCTCTTTCTCACTTCCTTTGTCACCCTCCACCCTGCAATATTTACTTAGCTTAAGCAACATGTTAGCTCCTGTTTGATCCAAAAATGGTGTTTTTTGTAGAATCATAACAATAAAAGATTTAAGAATTTGATTCTTAAATCGTTGAGGTTTAGGAGAAATCAACAAATAAATCGAATGAGAATAGAACATCAAAGAGATTTATTGATATGATTCATTACATTGAGTGAATATAAATGTAAAGTAAATCTATAAATCCCTAAGAAGTGTTCTTAGTATAAAAATGAGAAGAGCATCCCCTCTAATAAGGAGGTAGTTCCTTATTTATAGGAATGTGAGAACTAGGGTTTCCTAGTGAGATGGGCTAATTCATTGTCTTAATGGGTCTTATTGGTGGTAAAACCCATGTCCAACAGTAAGTCACCCCCAGTTCGTAGAGAGACACGAAGTCGATCTCTGTGAATTTTACGAATATGGTTTATTAGACAATGAACTAGGCGTATTCATGCATGTGATGATTTAGGCGAATTTACTTCGAATTTGTGCCTAGTAAAAGGCGAGTTTACTTTAAACTCGTGCTTAGTAAAAGACTAGTTTACTAGACTCGAGACGAAGGCGAGTTTACTGAACTCGTGCCTAGTAGGAGAGATTATGTAAACTCATGTCTGGCCAAGGATGAGTTTTTGTAAACTCGTGTCTAACAATAAGCGAGTCGATCGTAAACTCGTGCCTAATAAAAAGCAAGTTCAAAGTAAATTCGTGCCTAATATACAAGGTTACCGAACTATTGCTGACCCGAAGTCTCGTGTCGAGATCGTTGTATGTCGAGCAAGTTGCTGGTTTGTATGTTCGTCAAGCTATGATGATGACGAGAAATGCGTTGGCTTGCCGCTCGTACCGCTTCCGCCAAGCTTGTAGCTGAGAGTTCGTTGATTTCTTTTTTCTCTTCGGCTCAGCAATCATAACGACTCTGCCTCATGAAAAGCACAAGCATGATTAGCTCAAGATAAACCAGAAGAACTAATCGAGTTATGCATAATTAATAAGAAAATGATCAAACACGTTTTAATGCCCATGTGTTGCACATGATGATATAATAATTGTCAACTTATTAATATCATAAGGCTACCAACGATAAAGCAATACACGAGTCAATGTTATAAAGATTATACAAGAGTAGGTAGTTAGAGTTTTAATAATTTAAAACAAAGCTATAATGCCCTTCGTATATATAATGTGATTAAAGCATGTGATGGTTTAATAAGAGAACTTATCTTTGAGGATGAGTTGTTGGAGATGAGGTTTTTTGAAGTAGATGATCTCTATGCCGCAAAGCTAGCGTCTTTAGCAAGAAGAAGTGGTTTCAAGAGCCACTGATGACTTAACAATGTTAACATGAAGGGGATACTGCCACGCCTCAGATATTTTTTTTATTCTTGAACACAAGAAGAATCAAACTCTTCTCATCACCAGTTGCCCAGAATCATTGTTTTGATTGCCATGTTTGAACTCGGGTCTAGTAGTGATGTTTCTTCCTTGCATCTCACGGTGAACTGGTTGCCGGGAAGAGAAGCTTGATGTTGGCGAGTTTATAAGGCCAAGCCGCCTCTTTCTTGACGAGAAGCTTGAAGCCAACCTGCTCGATTGCAAGGCAAGATCAGACTTTGTTTGTGAAGTCGAGCTCAGGCTCCTTGGTTGCCACACGACCAGAAAGTGATATAACTCTCCCATCTCAGCTGTAGCTTTCCTGAACCCGCTATGTGAAGGATGTAATAACTTGATACAGTAAAGCCAATTGAACAATATAGAACTCTTAATTCAATTCAATGTAAGAACTACAAAGAATTGATCTCACCAAGCCAAGAGATACCAAGTAGAAACACTCAAAAGCTTGATAGAGAAGCACACTCAAATCAGAATTACAAGAAAGAACAACACACAATTTCGTCGATAATCCAAAATCCACTTCTTCTCCTNTTGATAGAGAAGCACACTCAAATCAGAATTACAAGAAAGAACAACACACAATTTCGTCGATAATCCAAAATCCACTTCTTCTCCTCCTTTTATCCGACTGTTTCTAACAGAATTGTGCAACTGACACTTCCACAGCTGACACGTGTTTTCTTCTATTATTAACTCACTCCCATCCACGTGTCATCTCTTTCCTATAGCAAATCCTCCCTTTCAAGAGAACCTTGACCACAAGGTTCAAAAGAGGGAAACTTCTGTTGCAAGTCAAACAGAAATTCCCACGTAGCTTCCTCCACTCCTTGGTTTTTCCACTTAACCAAAACCTGAGTAGCTGCTCTGTCCTTACGTTTCACCATCTTACGTTCAAGGATCGCTTCTGGTTCCTTTAACAACACATCAGTGACCACCACCGGAAGGTGACGTGTTGTAGGGACATCACCCACCAAAACCTTCAACTGAGAAACGTGGAAGACCGGGTGAATCAGAGACGAGGGAGGCAACTCCAACTTATATGCCACAGACCCACACCGATCAAGTATCTTGTACGGACCAAAAAATTTAGGAGACAATTTGTTGTTGGAGCGCATGACAGTGGACTGTTGTCTGTATGGTTGCAGCTTAACAAACACATAATCTCCAATCTCGAAACTCCTCTCCGTCCGGTGTAAGTCCTCGTTCTGCTTCATACGATGTTGAGCGCGAAGAAGATGAAACTGCAGCAAAAGAATCATATCCTCACGATCCTGTAACGATTGAGCCACCGTCTGGACTTTAGATTCGCCTGGGAGATAGGGTAGATGAACAGGAGGCGGACGACCATAAACAGCTTCAAAAGGTGTAAGCTGAGTTGCGGTATGAAAGGTAGTATTATACCAATACTCTGCTAACGGAAGCCATTTGCTCCAGAGATGAGGACGCTCACTTGTCATACAACGAAGGTACGTCTCCAAGCATTTATTCACAACCTCGGTCTGACCATCGCTTTGGGGGTGATAAGCAGAGGAGTAGTTCAATGCCACACCTTGTAAGGTAAAGAGCTCGCGCCAGAAGTCACTTAGAAAGACAGTATCTCTATCACTGACAATGGATTGAGGAAGACCATGAAGGCGAAATACTGTATCCAAGAAAGCTTGAGCCACTGTAGCTGCTGTATACGGATGACTTAAAGCCATAAAATGAGCGGCTTTGCTTAATCGATCCACTACCACCAAAATCACAGATTTGCCAAAGGACTTAGGTAAACCGTCAATAAAATCCATGGAGATGTCAGACCAAATAGCTGTAGGAATTGGTAACGGCTGCAATAGACCAGGAGAAGCTATCGTCTCATGTTTACACTGCTGACAAACAGCACAACTCCTGATGTAATGTTGAATGTCTTTGGACATTCCCTTCCAGTAAAACAAGCTTTTCACACGGTGATGGGTTGCATCTCTACCTGAATGTCCACCACTGCAAGATTTATGGAGCCACTCCAAGATAGTCTTTCTCAACTCAACATCTGCAGGAATGACAAGCTTGCTCTTTCTGCGTAAAGTGTCCTGCTTCCACGTAAAGTGTCTTTTGAAACCCGGATTTTTTTTTATAGCCTCAATGAGTTCCTTAGTCTGCAAGTCAGTCTCATAACAACTCTGTATCTGTTTCATCAGATCACACTCCATAACAGAGATAGCCATACTCAAGACCTCTGATCCCTCAACACGTGACAACGCATCGGCTGCTAAGTTATCTTTGCCTTGCCGGTACTGAATCTCGTAATCAAACTCCATTAGTTTTGGTAACCATTGTTGTTGGATAGGAGTATTCAACCGTTGTTCTAGTAAGTATTTCAAGCTACGTTGATCTGTTCTGATGATGAAGTGATCATGGAGAAGGTAATGCCTCCACTTCTGAACTGCAAACACCACCGCGAGTAACTCCTTCTCATAGATGGAGAGATGTAGTTGTTTACCTTTCAGGTGTCTGCTGATATATGCAATAGGATGACCTTCCTGCATCAAGACAGCACCAATACCACTACCACACGCATCAGTCTCAACCACAAACTGTTTGGTGAAGTCGGGTAATGCCAAAACAGGTGCATTACATAAAGCCTCCTTCAGCTTCTCAAACGACTCCTGTGCTTCATCAGACCACATAAAAGCATCTTTTTTGGTTAATATCGTAAGGGGTCTAGCAATGCCACCAAAACCTTGAACAAACCGTCTATAATAACCTGCCAGCCCTAAAAACCCGCGCAATTGTTTCAGGACAGTAGGAATAGGCCACTCCTTCACAGCTTTAATCTTGTTAGGATCAGTAGAGATGCCCTTAGCTTCAATATAATGTCCCAAATACTCTACACGCGAAGTAACAAAGTCACACTTGCTCCTTTTAGCATACAAATTGTGTGCTCTCATGACTGCAAATACTTCTCTGAGATGTTGCAGATGCTCTTCCTCAGACGTACTATATATCAGGATATCATCAAAGAAGATGAGCACAAATTTGCGGAGAAACGGCTTAAAAACTGAATTCATCAGGCTCTGGAACGTTGCAGGGGCATTTGTCAAGCCAAATGGCATAACCAAGTACTCATAATGGCCACTATGGGTTTTGAACGCAGTCTTATGTGTATCTTGTGGATCCATCCTGACTTGATGATATCCAGCGCGCAAATCTATCTTGGAATAGACAGAGGAACCACCTAACTCATCCATCAAATCTTCAATAAGAGGAATAGGGAACCTATCCTTAATAGTCATGCTATTTAAGTTCCTGTAATCCACACACAAGCGCCAAGTATTATCTTTTTTCTTCACAAGAACCACCGGTGATGCATAAGGACTAGAACTATTCTTCACTGTGCCTGCATCTAACAACGCCTGAACCAGCTTATCAATCTCTGTTTTTTGATATAAAGCATAACGATAAGGGCGTTGATTAACCGGATTCGAGCCTTCGATGAGAGGTATCTTGTGATCATGATTTACTCGGTATGGAGGAAGTGTAGTTGGTTCTTCAAAGATATCTCCATATTCTATCAACAATTCATTCAACCGCGAATCTGTTACTTTACTCCCTATGCTGTTCTCAGCGCTCACTCCTACTGAAAACAGTTCAGGAGCACCAGCGCTCACTCCTACTGGCAACAATTCTGGTTGATCACTACTCACTCCAAACTCTCCTAACAAGTTGTTCAAACCAAAAGTTGCTACTTTACTCCCTACTCTGTCCTCAGCACTCACTCCTACTGACAACAGTTCAGGAGCACCAGCTCTCACTCCTACTGGCAGCATCTCTTGTATATCAGCGCTCACTCCTACTGAGAACAACTCGCCTTCCTCGACCTCGTCAACCTTATTGATGTAAATCAATGAAACCTGTACTTCATCATCGGCTAGTTTGATCTTATTAGCTCTCACTTCAGTCAATAATCCTTCTTTAATACCATGTAACACC